TGGGGTTTTATTCAGCTGCATTTCCATCTTCTGGAAAGCCGAAGGATTATATGTATATTAATAAACGAATGTAGCTCGTGGCTGTGTTTTATGCTTTGTCTTTTATATGCTGCCAAGTTTCTGGGCTAAGATCGTGAAATTTCAGCGCAGGTTCAAATTTACTGGGATGTGCGTTCTATAAGTAAATCTGTCTATGTATTGATTCTGTGCTCAAGTCTGGAGGATAAATATCTTTTTTTTAAAAAAAAAAATCTTTTGATGCTGTTCTAATGGATAAACAAAATACAACGCGCAAAGGCAGGTACCTCATTTTTTTTTAAAAAAATGAGCCACATTGATATATACCCAGAATAGAATAACAATCTAGCGCAGGGGTAGTCAACCTTGGCTCTTTTATGACTTTTATGACAGCACAGCTGGCTCAGGAATTCTGGGAGTTGAAGTCCACGAGTCATAAAAGAGCCAAGGTTGACTACCTCTGATCTAGCGTTACTCGTTGTTGGCAAAAGGAGTCGATGTGTTTTGTGCAACTGGAAATAATCATCATAATATATTTCTTTTGATTTTTGGCTCTTCCATGCTTAATGTAGATTTGTGCAGTTCTTCATGAGGCTGGGATGTGGCAAAGCCGTACCTGATCTCCGGAGTCAGCCGGTGTTGTTACAATATTCCCTTAATGGTGGACTCCGGTGGAATTTACTTCAGGAATTTCTCTTCAGCAATTCGAGCAATATTGGGCGTTACATTGCCCTGGAAATCCCTTTAAAAGCTCGCTCTCCCTCTACGCGTCTCCGCTGGTGGCAGCCGTCGGAAAACGGGCATTTCTACAGCCCTTGGGTCATCGACCAGGTAAGTCATTCTTTTTACCTGAAAACAAAAGAAAGTGGTTAACCCCGACGCTATTCTGGCCCAGCCTACGTGAGTCCTTGTTATGCTCACAAGGAGAAACCCCTCTTTCAACAAGCAGGCTGGAACCACAGGAAAGAACCAGTCCCCTTTTATTATTCACAGACCTGAGTCAACGTCCAAGGCAAACAAAACACAGTCCACAGAAACTCGATCCTCAACACAAATGGCTGCCTTCGGCAACCAGCACCTCCCACACCTTCCCTTTTATTATGCAGCCAAGGCATGGCTTCCTAATGCCTTCTCCTTTGCCTTTGGAGCCGCCCCATTGCATTCCTCTGTCCTACTCACTTCTCTTGCCTGCGCATTCATGCATCCTGGATTTGTCCCAGCTGTTCTTCATCACTGTCCAACTCAGGCTCCTAGCACAACTGTGTCTCAGCCTGAGCGCCAGTAGAGGGGCCAGGCTCCTCGTCCGACTGTAAGTCTTGGAGCTCCTCAGAGCTTTCCTCTGACTCTGATGTCACTCCAGGCCCCTCCTCCTCCTCCTCCGATTCCCCAGACTCAGCTGCCAGGTCCACTGGCTGGTGAGGAATCAAGCCAGCTGGGAGTTGAAGTTACAATTGCAATATATGTAAAAACTATAGGCTGGGAAAAATTAAAATAAAGCAGAAACCACTGTGGGCAAAAGCTACCATCAAAACAGTCTTGTGGAGGGATAATTATGTTTTATTTATTTACATATTGTGGTGTTTAATACAGAGCCATCTGCCATCTGCTTAAAATTCCCCAAAATATTTGGATATCAGATTCATGGCAGAAACAAATGCCAGCAATACAAACATCGTTCCTTTTGCTCGCAGGAAGAAGAATCTTTAGAAGTTCACATTTACTCACCGTTAATTAGGTCTGATCGCAATAAACAATATTAAAATGGTTTTTTTTAAAAAAATAGATGAGTAATTCATTTTGACAAGGGGGAGAAAACAACGCAAGTAGCCCTCAACTTATGCTTGCAATTGAGTCCAACATTTATGTTACTAAGTGAGACCGTTGTTAAGCGGGTTTTGCCCCGTTTTACGACCTTTCATGCCATCGTCATTAAGTGAATCACTGCAGTTGTTAAGTTAGTAACACGGTTGTTAAGTGAATCTGGCTTCCCCCCGTTGACTTTGCTTGTCAGAAGTTCACAAAAGGGGATCACTGAACATGACCCTGGGACATGGCAACCGTCATAACTGTGAGTCAGTTGCCAAGGGCCTGAATTTTGATCACATGACTTTGGGGATGCTACAACGGTCGTAAGTGTAAAAAACTTTCACAAGTCACTTTTTTCAGTGCCGTTGTTCAATTGGAACGGTCCCTAAACTAACCATCGTACGTTGAGGACTACCTGTATGCTGGTTTTCCAATCAGACTCAAAGCAGTAGTAAAGCACCTACTATTAATTTCAAGCTGGAGTTATTTGCATTACACCAAGCATAGGAGTTTTTGTTCTCGGCACTTTACGAAAACAACTTTGATTGCAGTTCTGTACAATTTAGAAGATTTACGAATAATAATTGCAAATAACTCTTTGCCTACAGAGCATTAAGGGCCATTTGTGGAAAATTTACTGCACCTCTTAACCTATTTAGGACTGGCTCGTAGCAAAAATATGTTTTTCTAAAATTACATCCTTGCAAAGCATACTCCGGGCTCCCATTTGTTTATAGCTTGTTATCTGGAATATATGCTGCTTATAAACTGCAGTCATACTGAATTTAAGAGTCTTTTAGCGCCCTTTATTAAAACTCAGGAAAAATTACAGAGTACTTATTAACCGACGGTCCCTCGTTCCACAGCCTCATTCCGTCAGCTTATGCTAGTTAAGAGATCCTTAATAATTGCACTAAGATTACAATGTTGTAGCATAAAAGAGTCCACCTTTATTCTACACTGAATAAAGAAGAAACATTAAAGATTAAGGTTATTGTCTCCTTGTATTGTCTGTTTTAATCTTACTCTCTCTATTTTTTTTATAGCCTCTTTCTTTACAAAGAAACAGGGCTTTTTTTCTCGGAGAAAAGGTGGCGGAACTCAAACCTGGCCACGCCCTCATCAAACCCTAGGACCGCCCCTTTAGAGAACAGGAATGCAAGTAAAATTTGGGAGGGGCTATTTCCGGTGTGGGAGGGGCTATTTCCGGTGCGGCCGGCCCGGAAAAAGGTGCCGGAAAGCGGTTCCGCCGTGTTCCGGCTGAAAAAAAGCCCTGCAAAGAAATATATCCATTTCTACCATAGGAAACTCTAATTTAACAAGAGAGTCTTAGCTAACATTTCTGGCTTAAAATTTAACGGAGTGGATTGATTATTATTATAATTATAATTATTATTATATTATAAGTTTGATAATAAGTTTGACAACATTTCGCTTCTTCTCCAAGAAGCTTCAGAAGAACAAAAATCCAGTTGCCTTTTGAAAAAGCACTTTTAGAATAACCATGACCTGGATGACTGAGAATCTCCACGGACATTTCAATTTAAGGAAATTGAAATTGAAATTGAAATAATAATAAGCGAGTGTTTGTGTCACTGTATTCCAGATCCTTATCGGTGGAAACATTTCTGGCAACACAATCCTGGAAGATGATTTCAGCACCTTGGACAGCAAGAAATGGCTTCTCCACCCAGGTGGGACCAAAATGCCCGTGTGTGGTTCCTCTGGAGATGCTCTGGTCTTCATTGAGAAAGCCAGCACTCGCTACGTGGTCACCACCGACATTGCCATCAATGAAGACTCTTTCCTCCAGTTGGACTTTGCCGCTTCTTGTTCGGTCACCGACTCTTGCTACGGTAAAGGCGATTCCTTCAAACAGGCTATTCTATTCTATTCTATTCTATTCTATTCTATTCTATTCTATTCTATTCTGTATTCCTATTCTATTCTATTCTACTCTACTCTACTCTATTCTATTTTCTATTCTATTCTATTCTATTCTATTCTATTCTATTCTATTCTATTCTATTCTATTCTATTCTGTATTTTCTATTCTATTCTATATTCCTATTCTATTCTACTCTACTCTACTCTATTTTCTATTCTATTCTATTCTATTCTATTTTATTCTGTATTTCTATTCTATTCTGTATTCCTATTTACTCTACTCTACTCTACTCTACTCTACTCTACTCTATTCTATTCTATTCTATTCTATATTCTACCCTACCCTACCCTACCCTACTCTACTCTACTCTACTCTACTCTATTCTATTCTATTTATTCTACTCTACTCTACTCTACTATACTATACTATACTCTATTCTGTATTCCTATTCTATTCTACCCTACCCTACCCTACCCTACCCTACTCTACTGTACTCTACTGTACTCTACTCTACTCTACTCTACTCTACTTGATTCTATTCTATTCTATTCTATTCTATTCTGTATTTCTATTCTATTCTATTCTGTATTCCTATTCTATTCTACCCTACTCTACCCTACTCTACTGTACTCTACTGTACTGTACTCTACTGTACTGTACTCTACTCTACTCTACTCGATTCTATTCTATTCTATTCTATTCTAAATATTGAACTGCTTTTCCTTTTTCAACTGCCATGGTCTTGAGAAGACACTGAATTAGTTATCCACTGTTAGGTTTAGAACATAGAATCATAGGGCTAGGAGGGGCCTTGGGGGTCTTCTAGTCCATAGAGATGAGGCATCTCTCCATATATAACTGCCAACTTTGCTCTCTACGTTTAGTGGAATTCACATCACAGCAGCTATTCTTTGAAAACCACGTAAAACTGAACACATGACAGAACATTTGAATCTGCTCCTCTACAGCAGTCATTCAAATGTCTGTAGAGGTTCTCAGTCACCCAAGTCATGGTTGTCCTAAAGGTGCTTTTTCAAAAGGCAACTGGACTTTCTTTGGGTTTTTCTTTGAAAACGTTTCGCTTCTCATCCAAGAAGATTCTTCAGTTCTGACTGAAGAACCGAAGAAGCTTCTTGGATGAGAAGCGAAACATTTTCCAAGGAAAACCAAGGAAGTCCTGTTTGCCTTTGGAGCCGTCATTCAAGTTATCTACGCTTCTCCCACATGTCCTATTTTAATGCTTGCCTGTCGGCCCATCTTACCATTTTTGCATTTCATTCTTTTTTAGCTATTGAGCTGGAATATTCTGTGGATCTGGGTCTGTCGTGGCAACCCGTGATAAGGGATTGCCTTCCTACTAATGCGGAATGCAACAGGTATCATCTCCAGAGGGTCCTGATCTCCGATACCTTCAACAAATGGACAAGAATTATCTTGCCTCTTCCTCCATATACCAGGTGAATTATATTTGGCATGCTTTTATCCAGCAGAACCAAGTTTTCCATCATATTATGAATTATAATCAGGGATCTCTTTTTCCATGGTGACTACCTTGTTTCTAAACTTGTTTTCCAAAGGAATTCTACAAGTTGCATATTTGTCCTTAGTTAGCTCCATTGCTTATTGAATGATGTCAGGAGAGATATTCTAAACAAAACTATTTCAGTGTGTCTCCCACTTCACTCAAATGAGGCCGCACAAAATCATCCTGCTGTTAAAAGTCAACAAATGCTAATTGATCGTGATCTCTTTTCTTGACATGGTGTCCTCAAGATTTCTCATAATTATCAAGCAGTCTAGAACTGCACTTCAAAAACATCTGGAGAGTACAAAAGGCTGAGACACACATGCACACACATTCAGCTTGAAAACGTCAAGTAGGACTCTGAGTGAAGCTGATACTTTATCGTATCTTATATTAAGTGAGATCTTCTAAAAACCTTTGAGTATCTCGGTGATGATTGTTCTCTGCAGATTTAGCCACTTTTCTCTTCCAAATGAACAACATTGAAACAGGATGTTATTTCAGTACGTCCTGCTTCTCAAGTAGAAATACAAAAAAGCAGGCTAGTTAGAGCAATAGTCTTCCTTATAATGATGTACGGGTGTGAGACACCAAGAATGGCTGATCAAAGAAGAACGGATGCCTCTGAATGGCTTAAATTATTCCACATACCATGGACAGTCAGAGTAACTAACAGAGAGGTGTTCAATCATAAATCGTACAAAAGCAGACCCGTCAATGGAAGCTAAAATCATAAGACTGTGTCTGATTTATTTTGGCCATGTCATGTGTGCAAATTCATTGGCGAAGGCAATGATGCTAGGAATGGTTAATGGGGCAAGCAAAGAACACGCAGGCTTGATAACCTCAAATCCAGTGGTGGGATTCAGCCAGTTTGTAGCACTTTGGCAGAACCGGTAGCTAATTTTTTGTTGCCCAGGCCCAGAACGGACTTCCGGAAGCGGCATCCACACAGAGAACCGGCTGTTCACATATTATTCACATATTTGAATCCCACCACTGGATGGATGGATGGGGTGGGTGGATAGGTAGGTAGGTAGGTAGGTAGGTAGGTAGGTAGGTAGGTAGGTAGATAGATAGATAGATAGATAGATAGATAGATAGATAGATAGATAGATAGATAGATAGATAGATAGATAGATAGATAGATAGATAGATAGATAGATAGATAGATAAGAAAGATAGACAGACAGACAGACAGACAAAGAAGAAAGATAGATATAGATAGATGACAGACAGACAGACAGACAGATAAAGAAGATAGACAGATAGACAGATAGATAGGTAGGTAGATAGATAGATAGATAGATAGAGAGAGAGAGAGAGGGAGAGAGAGAGAGAGAGAGAGAGTGAGTGGTCGGATTCAGCCGGTTCACACCACTTTGGCAGAACCGGTAGCTAATTCTTTGTTGCCCAGGCCCAGAATGGACTTCTGGAAGCGGCATCCACACAGAGAACCGGTTGTTCACGTATTTAATCTCACCACTGCTCAAATCTGATAAAAAGTTGAACATACTGTAAAACAACTGAAAAAAGCTGTGCTTGACAGGATAGCATGGAAAGCACTTGCCTATAAAGTCACCAAGAGTCGGACACGACTAAAGGGTTAAAACCAAACAATTTCTCAAGTGCCTCCTATATAGGGTGAAAGAACAAGTCTCAATTGCCACAGAAAAAGTTTGGAGAATGCAGAGTAGGAAGAAAAGAAGATTGTACATGAACCATAAATGCACCTCAGGGTTCTTTAAAAAATTGTTTCCAGTTGATCAGAAATAGCTTAGACTATAAAATCAAGAGGTTAAATTCAAAGATCACCCTAATCTGATTTAAAAAAACCCACAACTGGAGGAAGACCATCAGAAGAAGAAAAAAAAATGCCGAGGGTACAAAATATAAAGGGAATAAGCAAATAGGTTGCCATCCGCCCGAACAGAAGTTTTGTTTGCTTCTTGAGCAAACTTGGTTTGAAGTTTAATGCTGCCATCTAGTGTTTATTTGTTGAATAAAGCCAGAGTCTCCATTTGTTCGATACTACAGAGGTGGAAGTTGCTAGTTCTCATGCTTTTAACTCCACAAACAGTGGTGGAATTCAGCCGGCTCACGCTGGTTCAGCAAAACTGGTAGCTTAATTTTTGGTTGAGTTCGGTGAACTGGCTGAAGCCCTAGCCCTTTTTCGCAAGGCCCAAAATGACTCTCCAGAATTGTGTGGATGCCGCTTCCGGAAGTCCGTTCTGGGCCTCGGAGGCCTTGGAGAAGGCCACCCAGGCCCGGAACGGCCCACCGGAAGTGCATGGACGCCACTTTCAGAAGTCCATTCTGGGCCTCGGAGGCCTGGAGGAGGCCTCCCAAGCCCAGAATGGCCCACCGGAAGTGCGTAGACACCAGTTCTGGAAGTCTGTTCTGGGCCTCCAAGGCCTGGAGGAGACCTCCGAAGCCCAGAATGTCCTACCAGAAGTGTATGGATGCCGCTTCCGGAAGTCTGTTCTGGGCCTCGGAGGCCTGGAGGAGGCCTCGGAAGCCTGGAGGAGGCCTCCCAGGCCTGGAACAGCCTGCCGGAAGTACATGGATGCTGCTTCCAGAAGTCTGTTCTGAGCCTCAGAGACTCAGGCCCAGAACGGACTTCCGGAAGCAGCGTCCATGCAGAGAACCAGTTATTCACGTATTTGAATCCCACAAGCATTTTTTTCCACATGTTTTGTCTTTCCTAAAGGTCTGATGCAACTCGTTTCCGTTGGCACCAAACGGCTCCTTTCGACAAGCAACAAACCTGGGCCATTGACAACGTCTACATAGGTGACGGCTGTATAGATATGTGCAGCGGACACGGAAGATGTTCTGAAGGGAACTGCGTGTAAGTACTCAGTCCGCTGAGAGAGACAAAGTAACTACAGGTAGTCCTAGACTTACGACCACAATGGAGCCCAAAATTTAGGTTGCTAAGTGAGACAGTTGTGTAGTGAGTTTTGCCCCATTTTACGACCTTTCTCGCCACAGTTGTTAAGTCAATCGTTCCAACTGTTCAGTTAGTAACCTGGTTGTTAAGTGAATCTGGCTTTGACTTTGCTTGTCAGAAGGTTGCAAAAAGGGGACCACGTGACCCCCCTGGGACACTGTAACCGTCATAAATATGAGTCAGTTTCCAAGCATCTGGATATAAATTGCGCGACTCTGGGGATGGTGCAGCGGTCATAAGTGTGAAAAATGGTCATAAGTCCCTTCTTTCAGTGCCGTTGTAACCTTGGTCACTTCAGGCCATAAAACGGGGCAAAATTTACTTCACAACTGTCTCACGTAGCGACAAAAATTACGCCTGTAAGTCGAGAACTTACCTGTGCGTGATTTTCATTTACCATATAATCCTTTCAATTGGCTTATTCTTGGGACTCAAACTAAGCGGCTCCCCCGTTCGAGTAAATCTCTGTCTCCTCTCAAAAACAAACCACGAATGTCAGGTAATGAAGCTGAACAAATTCTGCGCAGCTACAAAATCAATAAAAATGATACCATCGCTCATAAAAAATAATGGGCTGCATTATTTTTGGCCATTTGCAGCGCTCGGGCGATTTTTCAACTAGAGAGCAATAATCCAAAGCTACCATTAATATCAATTACCATCGAACCGCTGGTAGCTCTGGTCAGCAATCGCTTACTCATCTCACTGTTTAGGAAGAGGAGAGAAAAAGTTAGTAATCTTCGTGCGTTATTATTTCAGCAACATCTGTAAAGAGAGATAACAGAACCGTTTTTTAATGCAACAATTAAGAGGGAACATTACCGGTATGTGGTTTGCTGTAATGGATTAACGCACCATTTATCTGTGATTTTTAATGTATTTTCCCTGGTTTGGGGGGCGCTGGATTGAAGAGGTCTCAGATACCAAATTCATTTCCGTTATTTAAATTCTTTAAAAGTGTCTGCAGAATCACTTACTGTAGATGCTATTACTTGGGTAGTTTTATAGTCATTAAAATATCTTGTTCAGTGGACATGCGAATTGTCTTCAAAGTACCAGTTAACCCAAAATGCAAAATTTCATTGTTGTTGTTAGTTGCGAAGTCGTGTCCGACCCATCGCGACCCCATGGACAACGTTCCTCCAGGCCTTCCTGTCCTCTACCATCTTCTGGAGTCCATTGAACCTCAAGCCTACTGCTTCAGTGACTCCATCCAGCCACCTCCTTCTCTGTCGTCCCCTTCTTCTCTTGCCCTCCATCTTTCCCAGCATCAGGCTCTTCTCCAGCGAGTCCTTCCTTCTCATTAGGTGGCCAAAGGACTTGAGTTTCAACTTCAGGATCTGGCCTTCTAAAGAGCAGTCAGGGTTGATCTCCTTCAGGCCTTCCTGTCCTCTACCATCTTCTGGAGTCCATTGAAGCTCCCGCCTACTGCTTCAGTGACTCCATCCAGCCACCTCCTTCTCCGTCGTCCCCTTCTTCTCTTGCCCTCCATCTTTCCCAGCATTAGGCTCTTCTCCAGGGAGTCCTTCCTTCTCATTAGGTGGCCAAAGGACTTGAGTTTCAACTTCATCAGGTTCTCTCTGTCTGCTGTTCTTCACAGGTGCGATGAAAACTGGAGCGGGTTATACTGCGACGAGCCCGATGTGTCCCTCCCCACTCAACTGAAAGACAATTTCAACCGGGCGCCGTCCAATCAGAACTGGTTAACCGTCAACGGGGGGAAACTCAGCACCGTCTGCGGTGCGGTGGCTTCGGGGATGGTCCTTCATTTTAGCGGGGTTAGTATTTTGATTTGGGGCATCTTGTTTCTCTCGAGCGGGCCTTTCCTTGGGCTTCTTTTCCCCTCCGCTGCATTTTTTTTTCTTTCCTCTTGGGTTTATGTTTTTGTCGCTGTCGCAGCCTGGCTGTAAACGTGACAATGTGTTGGAGGCGGGTGAGCACAGAAAAGCGAAATAGATGAAAATACTTCAGTAAAAGATTATTTGCCCAACCTAAGTGAAAAGTAGGGACTCAAAGTTGCAAACTTCTTCTGGACATTGAGCAGGACTATCAACTCTTCAGTTGCTTTCATGTAGAGAGCCAGTTTGGTCTAGGGCTTAAGGCAGTGGTGGCGAACCTATGGCACGGGTGCCAGAGGCGGCACTCAGAGCCCTTTCTGTGGGCACACGCGCTGTCGCCCCAGTCCTAGGCCTTCAGCTGGGTTTTATAAAACCTTTTCGCTTTAGGCCTCCGCCGCCGTGTGCAAAAAAAAAAAGAGGTACAATCAATCAGTCAATTTCAACTTCTCGCGGGAAAAGAAAAGATCTTGCAAAGTTGGAATTGATTGATTGAACTTTTTAGTCCCACCCAGTCTGCCGTTACCACTGTAGCTACACCCAGCCAATGGGCCACACCCAGCCAATGGGCCACACCCACCCGGCACTCGACGATGCATAAGTGGGTTTTGGATTGCAGTTTGGGCACTCGGTCTCTAAAAGGTTCGCCATCACTGGCTTAAGGCATCAGGATAAAAAAACAGGAGACGGTGAGTTCTAGTCCCACCTTAGCCATGAAAGCCAGCTGGGTGACTTTGGGCCAGTTACCAGGAGACTATGAATTCTAGTTCCGCCCTAGACAGGAAAGCCAGCTGGGTGACTTTGGGCCAATTACCAAGAAACTTTGAATTCTAGTTCCGCCCTAGACAGGAAAGCCAGCTGGGTGCCTTTGGGCCAATTACCAGGAGAATTTGAATTCTAGTTTTGCCCTAGACAGGAAAGCCAGCTGGGTGCCTTTGGGCCAATTACCAGGAGACTGTGAATTCTAGTTCCACCCTAGACATCAAAGCCAGCTGGGTGACTTTGGGCCAATTACTAGGAGACTGTGAATTCTAGTTCCACCCTAGACAGGAAAGCCAGCTGGGTGACTTTAGGCCAATTACCAGGAGACTGTGAATTCTAGTTCCGCCCTAGACAGGAAAGCCAGCTGGGTGACTTTAGGCCAATTACCAGGAGATGGTGAGTTCTAATCCCACCTTAGCCATGAAAGCCAGCTGGGTGACTTTAGGCCAATTGCACTGAGCAAAAAGCAATGCATGGCCCTGTCAATAAACCTCTTAATCTTGGTTTTGTCTTCTTTGGAGAGACCCCCCCCCAAAAAAAAACAACTAACCTTGGTTCTGCTTTTCTAAGCATATCAATTAATGAGGTCGGTCGTCTTTCCCTGAGTGCTCTCCATTTTTTCCCCGTTCTTTCCTAAGGGATGCAGCCGTTTGCTCGTGACAGTGGATCTCAACCTCACCAAGGCAGAATTCATTCAGTTTTATTTCATGTATGGATGCCTGATCAGCCCCAACAACCGTAACCAAGGAGTTCTTCTGGAATATTCTGTAAATGGGGGCATTACGTGGAGCCTTTTGATGGAAATATTTTACGACCAGTTCAGCAAGCCCGGGTAATAGCAACGTTCACCTTGCCTGTTGAAATAATAATAATAATAATAATAATAATAATAATAATAATAATAATAATAATAATAATAATAATAATAATAATAATAATAATAATAATAATAATATAACAACAACAACAACAACAACAACAACAATAATAATAATAATAATAATAATAATAATAATAATAATAATAATAATAATAATAATAATAATAATAATAATAATAATAAAGTTGGAAGGGACCTTGGAGGTCATCTAGTCCAAACCCCTGTTCAGGCAGGAACCCCATACCATTTCGGACAAATGGCTGTCCAGTCTCTTCTTAAAAACTTCCAGTGTTGGAGCATTCACTGCTTCTGGAGGCAGGTAGTTCCCCTGGGTAATTGTTCTAACTGCCAGGAAGTTTCTCCTTAGTTCTAGTTGACTCAATCAAATCTCATCCTGTCAGTATGAATAAACTGAATTAAAAGTAGACTTTCCCTAAGACTACTGCCGTTATAAAACTCATCAATTTTTTTTTCCAGATTGATCCCCGCTCCCTTACTGATGCTTAATTTAGGTTAACATCTTTGGAGCCATTTAGTAGTTAAAACGAGATCTTTCATATCCTTAAAGTTAGCACAATCACCGTGTTCATGTAGAGCTGGGGTCTTCAGACTTGGCCACTTTAAGACTTGTGGACTTCAACTCCCAGAATTCCTCAGCCAGGCACGCTGGCTGAGGAATTCTGGGAGTTGAAGTCCACAAGTCATCAAAGGGCCAAGTTTGAAGACCCCTGCATTATGTGACGCCACAAGGTAGAAGAGCAGGTTGGGGACAAAGCATAGCTGGCTAGGGAATTCTGGGAGTTGAAGTCCACACCTCTTAAAATGGCCGAGGTTGAGAAACACCAGTTTAGCTCTTTTTGAGTTAGCATTATTTCCCCCTTACGTTATGTCAGGGGTCTTCAAACGTGGCCCTTTTATGACTTGTGGACTTCACCTCCCAGAATTCCTCAGCCAGCCCTGAGGGCTGGCTGAGGAATTCTGGGAGTTGAAGTGCACAAGTCATAAAAGGGCCAAATTTGAAGAGCCCTGATGTAGAGAAACTAAACGACAAGTTCAATTATTCAACTATGAATAATTCCCATCATGCTTTGGGCTTGGGCCATCTTTTCCAAGTCATTTCTACCTGCCCGATCTGGCAGTTCGGGCAGGTTATGGGTCCCATCCGCCGAGGAATGTTGGCCTTGGGGATGGTCGCTAAACGAATACACACAGTCCTTGACTTACTGCCACAATTGAGCCCAAAAATAAGACAGTTATGGAGTTTTTAACCACCTTTCTTGCCCCAGTTCTGACAGGAATCACTTCAGTTGTTAAATGAGTAAGTGAACATGGCTTCCCCATTGACTTTGCTTGTTGGAAGGTCGCCAAAGGTGATCACATGACCCCGGGACACGGCGACCGTCGGAATTCTGATCACATGACCGTGGGGATGCCACAACGGTTGTTGAGTGTGAAAAAGGGCCCTAAGTCCCTTTTTCCTGTGCCATTGTAACTTTGAACGGTCACTAAATGAGCTGTTGGAAGCCAAGGACGACCCGTGCGTAGTTTTTCTAAAATATTTGACGAAGTGGCGTGTGTGATGTTTCTCCGTTTAGTTTCGTGAACATTCTCCTCCCTGCGGACGCCAAGCGGGTGGGAACTCGTTTTCGCTGGTGGCAGCCGAAACACGAGGGCCTCGATCAAAGCGACTGGGCAATTGACAACGTGTTGATATCGGGCTCGGCGGATCAAAGGACCGTGATGCTGGATACCTTCAGCAGTGCCCCGTTGCCCCAGCACGAACGCTCGCCTGCCGATGCGGGACCGACGGGCAGGATCGCTTTCGACATGTTTGTCGATGACAGGACAACAGGTAATCATTGATAGAGTTGCAAATTATTGGGAGAGCTGGGTTTTAAAACACATATGTGTATATGTGTGTATGTTGTGTGTATATGTATGTGTGTGTGTATAAATATGTGTGTGTGTATATATGTATATGTGTATATATGTATATGTGTGTGTGTATATATGTATATGTGTGTGTATATGTATATGTGTGTATGTGTATATATGTGTGTATATATGTATATGTGTGTATATGTATATATGTGTGTGTGTGTATATATGTGTGTGTATATGTGTATATGTGTATTATGTGTGTGTATATATGTATATGTGTATTATGTGTGTGTATATATGTATATGTGTATTATGTGTGTGTATATATGTATATGTGTGTATATGTATATATTTGTGTGTATATATATGTGTGTGTATATATGTATACGTGTATATGTGTGTGTATATTTATATGTATATATATGTGTTTGTGTGCATATATATGTGTGTGTATATGTGTGTATATATATATGCATATGTGTGTGTATATGTGTGTGTATATGTGTGTGTGTGTATAAATATGTGTGTGTGTATGTACACACACACACACATTTCCCCGAAAATAAGACCGGGTCTCCTATTAATTTTTACTCCAAACGACAGATTAGGGTTTATTTTCCAATTAGATCTTATTTGGGGGAAAATATGGTACTAAATGCATCCGTCTGGCTGACAATCTTAACTGGGGCTTATTTTTGGGGTGGGGCTTGTATTACGAACATCCTGAAAAATCATGCTACACACACATACACACACACACACACACAATGTTTCTAAAACAAACATATAAACTAACAAAAACAAATGGTCCAAGAGAGAAATAGATTAACAACCAAAAAAAAAGAGAGAGAAAGCCGTAAGAGACTGAAGTAGAAAAAGGTAGTACAAGGATACAAAACTGGCAAAAAAATATATATATTAAATTTTACAGATGATAAAAGAAGGGTTGAATTGAATGCCACTTAAATTCAGCCCGTACGTTAGAGTGGGGATGACAGGTTTACTGGTGTTTTTTTTCACCTTGACAGTTGTGTAATAAGAAGAGATCAAGCAAAGAAATCTTCAGAGTGATTTTTAAAAGCATCAACTGATCACTTTTTTCCCAAGCAGGTAGAAGTTCAAAAATTAGGTACATAAAGGGATATAAAAAGATATAATCGATAGTCCTCAAACCAGGCACGGGGGGAGAAGAAAAAATAGGGTTATCGCCAAGCTCAATTTTTCTCTAAAAGGTGGGGATCTAGTTAAAGCATTATGTTGATAAAAAACATAATTCATCATCATATTACAATCCACTAATATCTCAGTTATCCGGACATTTGTTTTCAGGAACTATGGCAGGGGTAGGCAACCTTGGCTCTTTTATGACTCTTGGACTTCAATTCCCAGAATTCCTGAGCAAGCCATGCTGAGAGAAAAGGGAGAGGTTTCCAAGCTGAACCAGGCTGGCTCAGGAATTCTGGGAGTTGAAGTCCACCAATCTTAAAGTTGCCAAGGTTGAGGACTCCTGATATAGGGCAGGGGTAGGCAACCTTGGTTCTTTTATGACTCGTGGACTTCAACTCCCAGAATTCCTGAGCCAGCCACGCTGAGGGGAAAGGGAGAGTTTCCAAACTGAGCCATGCTGGCTCAGGAATTCTGGGAGTTGAAGTCCACAAGTCACAAAAGAGCCAAGGTTGCCTACCCCTCAAATAAGGCAACCTAGTTAACCCCTGTAATTATGAAATACTGAGGTTTTAGAAGATTGATCAGAATGTTTTTCTCTTCAGTGAACGAGCTCTGGATGTTCCATGATGATTGCTCCATTGAAAAATTCTGCGACTCTCCGGATGGGGTCCTGATGTGTGGTAGCCATGACGGCAGAGAGGCCTACGCCATCACTCACGACCTAACTCCCACCGAACGTTGGATCATGCAGTTCAAGGTATGGAGATTTTATGGACCTCTGAATTCATCAATAACTTTCCAAAAGGACGTCGGTCTGTCCCAACCACAAACCTCTGCTCGGTCTTGGATAGCTGCATGATTGTTATCAGTATACCTGTTGTATGATGAACTAAGCGTTGGAGTAAGCTAAGTCCCTTTCAAGAGTGGAGGGTCACAGGGTAAAAAAGCATCCTGCAGGAAGCACAGCTCTACAAAACGGTCCTTGCAGCAGTTCCAAGAAGGCTCCACACCTATTTGCACCACTCAGGTGACCCTGAGGACACAGGTAAACCCCCAAGTGGCCTCAAGGACTCTCTAAAACAGGGGTCTTCAAACTTGGCCCTTTTATGACTTGTGGACTTCAATTCCCAGAATTCCTCAGCCAGGCACGCTGGCTGAGGAATTCTGGGAGTTGAAGTCCACAAGTCTTCAAAGGGTCAAGTTTGAAGGACCCCTCCCAGAATTCCTCAGCCAAGCACGCTGGCTGAGGAATTCTGGGAGTTGAAGTCCACAAGTCATCAAAGGGCCAAGTTGGAAGACCCCAGCTCTAAAAGAAGGCAAATGACAAGTCTGCAAGGAGTATAAATCCTTCCATTCCCCACCATCCAGTCAGAGCTGAAGAAGCTTCTTGGATGAGAAGCAAAACATCTTCAAAGAAAAACAAGAAAGTCCAGTTGCCTCCTGAAAAAAACACCTTTGGAACAACTACAACCTGGATGACTGAGAACCTCCGTAGACAAGTGCTGGAGTACCCCGTGGAAAGATTTTGGGGGGTATAGCTCAATGGGCTAGCCGTGTTCATTAATACACCAAGGACCCCTCATTTCAACCTGGAGCTACAGATGTTCCCTTCCGTCGAAATGACATTGTTTTGCGCCTTATGGTTTGAATTATTTGTGCTGATTTATTTTTTTTAAAGTGTGAAACAAAACGCGTTTCTGCTTTTTTTTTTGTTGCACCCATTAGATTTCGGTTGGATGTAAAGCCTCCGAAAAGATTGCTCAGAACCAAGTCCATGTACAATATTCTACCGATTTTGGCGTGAGTTGGAGGTACCTCATCCCTCAGTGTTTACCTGCTGATCCGAAATGTTCCGGAGCTGTTTCCCAGCCCTCTGTCTTCTTCCCCACCAAAGGATGGAAAAGGATAACATATCCATTGCCTGAAAACTTAGTAGGAAAGTAAGTAGGAAACAATATTTAATTATCAAGTAGAGCTGGGCTCTTCAAACTGGGCCACTTTTAAGACTTGTGGACTTCAACTCCCATAATTCCTCAGCCAGGCACGCTGGCTGAGGAATTCTGGGAGTTGAAATCCACAAGTCATAAAAGGGCCAAGTTTGAAGACCCCTCCCAGAATTCCTCAGCCAGGCATGCTGGTTGAGGAATTCTGGGAGTTGAAGTCCTCAACTTACAACTTATTCGTTTAGCTTTGAAGTTACAACGGCACCGTTTTTTCATATTTACGACCATCGCAGCGTCCCCTTGGTCACATGATCAAAATTCGGAGGCTCGGCAACTGGCGTGGACTTAACGACGGTTGCAGCGGCCCAAGGTCGCATGATCCCCGTTTGCGACCTTCCAACAAGCAAAGTCAATGGGGAAGCCCGATTCGCTTAACGACCATGTGACTCATTTAACCACTGCAGTGATTCTCTTAACGACAGTGGCATGAAAGGTCGTAAAATGGGACAAAAGTGTCTCACTTAGCAACATAAATGTTGGACTCAGTTGTGATCGTAAGTCGAGAACTCCTTGCATTGCGGTTCCCCCTTGTCAAAATGAATTACTCATCTATTTTTAATACTATTTATTAAATAACATTAATAAACAATATTTATTAAATTTTAATATTTTTTATTGTGATCAGACCTAATTAACAGGGAGTAAAGGTGAACTTCTAAACATTCTTCTTCCTGTAAGCAGAAGAGAACAATATTTGCATGGCTGGCATTTGTTTCTGCCATGAATTTGATATCCAAATATCAAATCCTGACATATATCCTAACAACTGTGGCGTCGTTAAATGGGGCAAAGCTGACATAACAACTGCCTTGTTTGCAGTTGCAGGCTCAGTTGTGGTCATAAGTCAGGGACTACCTTATTTGGTTCTCCATTAAAAGTTTGAACAAACACAAATTCACCACTTTCAACATAATTCTTTATTTTAACTTGAACTCACATAAACGCATTCCAGAACTGAGATAAGATAAGATAACCTTTATTGTCATTTTTTTTACTGTGGGCACAACGGCACACATCAAAAATGAAATTTAGTTGCCCGCTCTCAAAGTGAAACACATGCATGACACACACCTAAACATACTACGTACAACATATGTATAGACCCACACCCCTACATATACATCTATATAAATAAATATGTAAATGTTTGTTTGTTCAAAATCTTAAATCTCCGAAAGTTCTTCACCGATCGCTTTGAAATTTTGACACAACGTTGCATTCGAATACGTGCGTGTTTTTATATACCGACTATTATATAGATGTCACACCTGTGACAGGTAAAAACATGCTTTTTTTGAAAAACAGCGCCATCTGTTGGACGTAAAAGCAAGACACGCTACGATTTTACGATTCCATTTCAATGTTTCCGATTTACGATCCATTTACGATTTCCAAATTTCCAATTTTACGATTCCATTTCAATGTTTCCGATTGCATTGTTAAATTGAATTTATTTCCATTTAACCAGACTGAGCCACAGCAACGCGTGGCCGGGTACAGCTAGTAGCAAATAAATATTAAATACTGTCCATCTTGACTATATAACGGAAGGAAAGCATACTTTCTAGGAATCGTGCTCTATTATCGCGCCATCCAGGTGTGTGTAATAATCTCAGCTCCTTCTTCTTGTGTGTTCCTGCAGTCCAGTGAGATTCAGATTTTATCAGAAGTACTCTGATATGCAGTGGGCCATTGACAATTTCTACCTTGGGCCTGGTTGTGTCGAAAACTGCCGAGGCCACGGAGACTGCTTGAAAGAGCAGTGCATTTGTGATCCGGGATTCTCCGGCCCAAATTGTTACCTGACCCATCCTTTGAAGGTAATGAAAGAGCATCTGGACGATGGAAAGAAATGCAGACGAACCAAATATTGCATTCCAAAAAAGGGAAAAAGAAGGGAGGAGGGGAGGAAGAAAGGAAGGGGAAGAGGGAGGGAGGGAGGAATTATCATTTTTCTGAACATTTCTCCTGTACTCACACCTTGCAATCCCTCCCCAGACCTTCTTGAAGGAGCGCTTTGACAACGAAGAACTCCGGCCCGATTTATGGATGTCCCTGGAAGGCGGGCTGGCCTGTCTGGAGTGTGGGGTCCTCGCCGAGGACACGGCTCTGTATTTCGGGGGACCCACCGTGAGGCAGGCAGTCACCCAAGACCTGGATCTGCGGGGCGCAAAGTAGGTCAGCTTACCTAATAGAGGTGAACGTAGCTCATCCTTGTCAGTGAAGGTTGGCGATCAAGAATAATAATAACCACGATGCTCTCCAGAAGGTTGAGGGGACATCAACCTTTCATCCTTAAAATGTCAACTCAGGAAGGAAGGAAGGAAGGAAGGAAGGAAGGAAGGAAGGAAGGAAGGAAGGAAGGAAGGAAGGAAGGAAGGAAGGAAGGAAGGAAGGTTTCCCCAACTGACCACTTCCTTCGGCCAACCGCGTGCAAATTTATTAATAATTTAATAAATTATCCACCGTTCCATAGATAATTCACCTTGTTTGGGATAGCTCCTGGCAGCCCTACGGTCCGTGCACTTTTTTTAAAAAAAAAATCTCCCTGTGGAAAGCCATTCTTTGATTCAATCCACGGATGGATTTAGCTCAGAAGATACGAGAAAAGAAGGAAAGTGTAGGAAGGAAGGAAGATCTGGAAAAGATTCCGTTATAAATGCCCGTGTAGAAGGTCGATCTAGTCCGGCTCTCACCAAAAACCTAATTTCTGAAATTGGCTTTTCCCCACAGTGAAAAGAAATCTAGCTAGACATATCTAAAAAGAAAAAGAAAAAGAAATTGGGAGGTTTAACTTATTTAAGTAACACAGGAAGTCTCTGTGATTCCTTCAGAAGAACCTTGAGAAACGAAGATATTTAAAACTAAACTTTAACGCACGTGGCTTCTTCCAGTAAATTAAAATTAACTGTACATTTTTTTATTCAGGTTTCTGCAATACTGGGGAAGAATAGGGAGTGAAAGCAACATGACCACTTGTCACAGACCGACATGTCGGAAAGAAGGAGTTCTACTGGATTATTCCACAGATGGAGGCAAGTGATTGATACGGGGCCTAACAAATATTTCTATTAGTTTAACAGTCTAATGCAGGGGTGAGCAACCATGGCCTCTTTACGACCTGTGGACTTCAACTCCCAGAATTCCTGGCTTCCATGCTCCCAGAATGCATGTCCGGCTTAGGAATTCTGGGAGTTGAAGCCCCACAGATCATGAAGATTATTTGTCTGAAATGGTATGGTTCTCCTGCTCAAGCGGGGGGCTGGACTAGAAGACCTCCAAGATCCCTTCCAGCTTCTACTCTACTCTACTCTACTCTACTCCACTCCACTCCACTCCACTCCACTCCACTCCATTCTATTCTGTATTTCTATTCTGTTTTGTTCTGTTCTGTATTTCTATTCTATTCTGTTCTATTCTGTATTTCTATTCTATTCCATTCTATTCTGTATTTCTATTCTGTTCTATTCTATTCTGTATTTCTATTCTGTTCTATTCTATATTTCTATTCTATTCTATTCTGTATTTCTATTCTATTCTATTCTATTCTGTAGGATAGAATATTATTAAGAGATAATCAGATGGATAAGCATACCTGTAATGTATATTTTATGTTCATAATGTTCATAACTCTGCACCTTGATATGGCCCCTGGGCTAATCAATAAAGTAATTAATTAATTATGTTCATAATGATTGCTTGAAGCAAGAGGATTATTCTTATTTTATAAAAGGGCAGCACTCATAGCAAATCAGTCGTTCAGAAAAACTCCACGAGGAATCTCAAGACATTTACTGATTTTTTTCCCCTTTATCTCGAACCATCGTACTACAGGGATATCATGGACGTTGCTGCATGAGATGGATTATCAGAAATATATCTCCATCCGGCACGATTACATTCTGCTCCCAGAAGAGTCCCTCACCAACACGACTCGCCTGCGCTGGTGGCAACCCTTTGTGATCAACAACGGAATCGTTGTTTCGGGTGCGGATCGCGCTCAGTGGGCCCTGGATAATATACTGATTGGCGGAGCAGAAATCAATCCAAGTCAACTGGTGGATACATTCGATGATGGTAAGAATCAAATAGAGCAGGGGTCCCCAACCCCCGGGTCCGTGGACTGGTACCGGGCCGCAGCATGTCAGCAACCGGTCCGCACAAACAAGCAAAGCCCCATCCGCGCGATGCAGGCAGTACACAAAACCACGCATCTTCCAGTCCGCGGGAAAAACCTCTCTCCACGGAACCGGTGGTCCCTGGTGCCCCAAAGGTTGGGGACCTCTGAAATAGAGAACTAACTTTTTACCCAGACCTCCAAGCCCTCCAAGGGCCCGATGGCTCAGTGGTTAAAGAGCCTAAGCCTTGGAACCTGGAAAGCTAACAGCTTGTTCATGATACATGGACCGTTGATTGACATGAAAATGCATACAGGGATTTGGATGGTAAATAATAATAATAAAGTTGGAAGGGACCTTGGAGGTCATCTAGTCCAACCCCCTGCTCAGGCAGGAAACCCTGTACCATTCCAGACAAATGGCTGTCCAGTCTCTTCTTAAAAACTTCCAGTGTTGGAGCATTCACCGCTTCTGGAGGCAGGTTGTTCCACTGGTTAATTGTTCTAACTGTCAGGAAGTTTCTCCTTAGTTCTAGGTTGCTTCTCTCTTTGGTTAGCTTCCACCCGTTGCTCCTTGTCCTGCCTTCAGGTGCTTTGGAAAAGATTTTGCAATCTTTTTCTGAGAGTGTAATAAAATTCTTCTTTTTTTCCTTTTATCTCTCAGCATCTCCAACTCTCTGAATTACACCCCATCTTTACTAATAGTTCTAATGGGATAACTGGGAAGATGTTCTTAATTATTTACAATTTGACCACCTGGGGATCCGTTGTGCTGCCTATTACCTGCCCCTTATGCTTGGGAGGGTGCTTGAATATCCTGAATAGACAAAGATGTTGTAACGATTCTGTATATGTTTCCGTAGAATAAATCTCTGGTTCATTTTGCACTCCTTGATCTTAACAGAAGGAATCTCCCACGAAGAAAACTGGAGTTTCTACCCCAACGCGGTCAGGACTGCCGGATTCTGCGGGAACCCCTCCTTCCATCTCTATTGGCCAAATAAGAAAAAAGATCAGACGTATAATATCTTGTCCTCTCGGGAACTCATTATACAACCTGGATACATGATCCAGTTCAAAGTAAGAAGATCGTTTCTGGGCATTTGGAGTAAAATATGGACTTAAATTCAGACCAGTCCCGAAACTCTTGATAAATAGGTTCAAATTATTATCCCAATATTTACTGTACTTTGCTTATTAGAATTTTTGGAAGTTACACGAGGGCATCTAACAATAACATCAAATTAATATGAATATATAGACGGTGGGTCAATTGGAAGAGTAGTGTCCGAGTCTGATTTATTACATTTTTGTCCCACCTTTATTACTTTATAAATAACTCGAAGCAGTGAACATACGTACTACTCTTTCATCCTCCTATTTTCCCCACAACAATAACCCTGTGAGGTTGGTTGGGCTGAAAAAGAGGGACTGGCCAAAAGACACGCAACTGGCTTTGATGGCTAAGGCGGGACTAGAACTCACAGTCTCCAGGTGATTGGCCCAAAGTCACCCAGCTGGCTTTGATGGCTAAGGCGGGACTAGAACTCTCAGTGTCCAGGTGATTGGCTCAAAGTCACCCAGCTGGCTTTGATGGCTAAGATGGGACTAGAACTCACAGTCTCCGGGTGATTGGCCCAAAGTCACCCAGCTGGCTTTGACGGCTAAGGCAGAACTCACAGTCTCCAGGTGATTGGCTCAAAGTCACCCAGCTGGCTTTGATGGCTAAGGCAGGACTAGAACTCACAGTCTCCAGGTGATTGGCTCAAAGTCACTAATCTGCCTTTCCTGGCTAAGGTAGGGCTAGAATTCACAAGCTCCCAGTGCTTTAACCACTAGACCAAACTAGTTCTTTTTCTAGTTACTCTTATGAGTAAATAGAGGACGGGGCTATCTTATTGTTTATGAGAAGAAAAAATATTCTTATCCAAACGAAGCATAAGGTGCTACTATTGCCAAAGTTTTGATTAACCAAAGAAACTCTGGGGATATATTTTGGGGCTGGCTATTTTGGAACAAACACAGGCAATGATCTATTCTATCAGAATCAGACAAGGAGAATAAATTGTTCCAAACAGAATGACAAAACCGAAGAGAAAACGCATCTCATTTTAATTATTTCAGATTGTGGTTGGCTGTGAGGCAACGTCATGCGGTGATCCCCATTCAGTTATGCTGGAATACTCTAAGGATGCTCGGTAAATTACCAAACTTACAGCCGTGATTGAAAATATGGTGGACTTGAAGACTCAAAATACTTTTTTTACAATTATTTAACATTGGTGTGAATATAAATGCAACTGTAGATATGAAAGTAAAATCTGCCTTGATTCAAGTTCTATTACTGGAATTCATAAACATGTCTTGTTCATCTATCTTCGTAACAGAACAGATCCAAAATGGCTTGATTGTTGCCAAGATGGTTTTGTTTTTTTCAATGATTCCACTCTGGCTAATACAGGTGGTCCTCGACTTACGACCACAATTGAGTCCCAAATTTATGTTGCTAAATGAGACATTTGTTAAGATATAGATTGACATAGATGAATGAGAGAGAGAGAGAGAGAGAGAATGATATATAGATAGATGATAGATAGAAAGATAAATAGATAACAGAGAGAAATGATAGAGAGAGCGAGAGAGAGATGATAGGTAGATAGAAAGATAAATAGATAATAGAGAAAGATAGATAGATAGATAGATAGATAGATAGATAGATAGATAGATAGATAGATAGATAGATAGATAGATAGATAGATAGATAGATAGATAGATAGATAGATAGATAATAGACAGACAGACAGACAGACAGATATAAGATGATAGGTAGAAAATAAATAGATAATAGAGAAATGATAGAAAGATAGATAGATAGATAGATAGATAGATAGATAGATAGATAGATATAGAAATGATAGATAGATAGATAGAAGATAGATAGATAGATAGATAGATAGATATAGAAATGATAGATAGATAGATAGATAGATAGATAGATAGATAGATAGATAGATAGATAGATAGATAGATAGATAAATAGATGGAAGATAGATAGATAGATAGATAGATAGATAGATAGATAGATAGATAGATAGATAGATAGATAGATAGATAGATAGGCAGGCAGGCAGGCAGGCAGGCAGGCAGGCAGGCAGGCAGACAGACAGACAGACAGACAGACACAGACACAGACACAGACACAGACACAGACATATACAGTATATAAAAAACAGTCATCAGATAAACCCAAAGCTAAAGCTAATCTTCCAAGCCCTCTGTTAACCATCTGTAGTGTAATTGACACGTGGAAAGTCCAATCTCTTGTGAACTTACTGTGTCCGACGAAGGCAGATAGAAACTGAAGCCTGCTCTTTTAACCTCCCTTAGGCTGCGAAAAGGCTTACGGAGAAAGTATGGAAGTCACTCGGGCGTGGGTTTGTGGGTTTTTTTCGCCCGTGTTTGCCAATGCCTTCTCTCCCTCCCACTCCTAGCAACATCATGTCTCTTGCTGTCCTCCAGGTTAGATTTCTGGCAGCTGGTCCAGACCCAGTGCCTCCCTTCCTCCTCCAACAGTGTTGGCTGCTCCCCCTTTCAGTTCCACGAAGCGACCATCTACAACTCCGTCAACAGCTCCACTTGGAAGAGGATAACCATCCAGCTGCCGGATCACGTCTCCTCCAGGTACGTTCCTCTCTGAAGAAGCAACGTGCTCCTTCGGCAGCGTATCAGCACTCAGAAGATTCGTTGGCTTTGGTGTCTTGGAAAAGGACATCTTAACGCTGTCCGTATCTTATAGAGAAGAGGTCCCCAACCTTTGGGGCACCAGGGACCGGTTCCGTGGAGAGAGGTTTTCCCGTGGACCGGAGAGTGTGTGGTTTTGTGTGCTGCCTGCATCCCGCGTATGAGGCTTTGCTTGTTTGTGCGGACCGGTGGTTGGTGTGCCGTGGCCCGATAGTGGTCCACGGACTGGGGGTTGGGGACCCCTGTTATAGAGAGTAGGACAGTAGTGGCGAACCTATGGCACGAATGCCAGAGGCGGCACTCAGAGGCCTCTCTGTGGCACTCACGCTGTTGCCCCAGACCCACCTCCCCCCGTGGACCCCTCTTCACCAGCAGCCCCCCCGGAGGAGAGTCGCCCCTGAGCACAGCCGGCGCAGAGCAGCGCAGCCAAAGACATGGTAGCCGGGCAGCAGGGACAAGACTCCACCCTTGCGCCCTGTCACGTGCAGATGATGCTCCCGAGTGCGGGCGGAGGGCATGGCTGCCATGGCGCTGCTGGGCCAACTAGGCAATCTGCAGTGGGCCGTGAAGACAGTGAGTGGCTCTGCGGGCAGGCGGGGCTGAGCTGGGGGTGGGGTAGGGACGGAGCAGGGGCAGGTGGGGCCGGTTTTTGGGTACTCGGTCTCTAAAAGATTCGCCATCACTGGAGTAGGATATCTCCCAACGGTCGTGTCCAGAAAGCAAGTGAGCATCATTCAAAGCTATAGGATACGGAAGCCCTTTACTTTCTAATAACTACTTAAGATGGCTATATTATATGCCAGAATAACACAAATTACAGTTAGTCCCCAACTTACGACTGCAAGGGAGTCCCAGATTTCTGCTGCTAAGCAAGACAGCTATTAAGTGAGTTTTGCCCCGTTTTACGACCTTTCTCGCCACAGTTGTTAAGGTTACTAAGTTAGTAACACGGTTGTTAAATGAACCTGAATTCGCTTGTCAGAAGGTCGCAAAAGTGGATCACATGACACCCCCCCCCGGGACACTGCAGTTGTCATAAATACAAACCACTTGCCAAACATCTGAATTTTGATTACGGGATCCCGGGGAATCCTGCAGTGGTTGTAACTGCGAAAAACGGGCAAAAGTTTCTTTTTTTCAGTGCCATTGTAAAGATGAACGTTCCCTAAACGAATCTTTGTAAATCGAGGACTGTCTGTATTGACCTATTACCTGGAAGCTCGGCTGACCTCTTGTGTCCACTCGTGGACCCTTCTATTTCTAGTGCAACTCAGTTCCGCTGGATCCAAAAAGGAGAAGAGCCGGAAAAACAAAGCTGGGCAATAGATCATGTCTACATCGGAGAAGCGTGCCCCAAACTCTGCAGCGGCCACGGATATTGTACCACGGGTGCCGTTTGCATTTGTGATGAGGAATACCAAGGTCAGATTCTGTGCGGATGCTCTGTGTCCTTTCTCCGTTGTACAGGATTGCTGCAACGTGTGGTTCCGCTCCTTTAAAGGGCGTTTTCACACAGCTTCTCTTGTGGGAGGTTGCGTTGTTACTTTGATANGGTGATTGGCTCAAAGTCACCCAGCTGGCTTTGATGGCTAAGGCGGGACTAGAACTCACAGTCTCCGGGTGATTGGCCCAAAGTCACCCAGCTGGCTTTGATGGCTAAGGTGGGACTAGAACTCACAGTCTCCGGGTGATTGGCTCAAAGTCACCCAGCTGGCTTTGATGGCAAAGGCGGGACTAGAACTCACAGTCTCCAGGTGATTGGCCCAAAGTCACCCAGTTGGCTTTGATGGCTAAGGCGGGACTAGAACTCACAGTCGCCAGGTGATTGGCCCAAAGTCACCCAGCTGGCTTTGATGGCTAAGGTGGGACTAGAACTCACAGTCTCCAGGTGATTGGCTCAAAGTCACCCAGCTGGCTTTGATGGCAAAGGCGGGACTAGAACTCTCAGTCTCCAGGTGATTGGCCCAAAGTCACCCAGCTGACTTTGATGGCAAAGGTGGGACTAGAACTCACAGTCTCCAGGTGATTGGCTCAAAGTCACTAATCTGCCTTTCCTGGCTAAGGTAGGACTAGAACTCACAAACTCCCAGTGCTTTAACCACTAGACCAAACTAGTTCTCTTTCTAGTTACTCTTATGAGTAACTAGAGGATGGGGTTATCTTATTGTTTATGAGAAGAAAAAATATTCTTATCCAAACGAAGCATAAGGTGCTACTATCGCCAAAGTTTTGATTAACCAAAGAAACTCTAGGCCCTAGGGATATATTTTGGGGCTGGCTATTTTGGAACAAACACAGGCAATGATCTGTCAGAATGGACAAGGAGAATAAATTGTTCCAAACAGAATGACAAAACCGAAGAGAAAACACATCTCATTTTAATTATTTCAGATTGTGGTTGGCTGTGAGGCAACGTCATGCGGTGATCCCCATTCAGTAATGCTGGAATACTCTAAGGATGCTCGGTAAATTACCAAACTTACGGCCGCGATTGAAAATATGGTGGACTTGAAGACTCAAAATACTTATTTTACAGTTATTTAGCATTGATGTGAACATAAATGTATGTAGATATGAAAGTAAAATCTGCCTTGATTCAAGTTCTATTACTGGAATTCATAAACATGTCCTTTTATCCATCTTCGTAACAGAACAGATGCAAAATGGCTTGGTTGTTGCCAAGATGGTTTTGTTTTTTTTCAATGATTCAACTCTGGCTAATACAGGTGGCCCTCGACTTACGACCACAATTGAGCCCCAAATTTATGTTGCTAAATGAGAAATTTGTTAAGATATAGATTGACATAGATGAGTGTGTGTGTGTGTGTGTGTGTGTGTGAGAGAGAGAGAGAGAGAGAGAGAGAGAGAGAGAGAGAGGTAAATAGATAATAGAGAGAGAAATAGACAGACAGACAAATATAGATAAATGATGGGTAGATAGAAAACAAATAGATAATAGAAAAATGATAGATAGACAGACAGACAGACAGACAGACAGACAGAGATGATAGGTAGACAGAGATAGATGATAGGTAGATAGAAAATAAATAGATAATAGAGAAATAAATAGATAATAGAGAAATGATAGATAGAAAGATAGATATAGAAATGATAGATAGATAATAGAAATGATAAATGATAGATAGACAGATAGACAGATAGACAGATAGAGATAGATGATAGATAGGTAGATAGAAAATAAATAGATAATAGAGAAATGATAGATAGATAGATAGATAGATAGATAGATAGATAGATAGATAGATAGATAGATAGATAGATAGATAGATAGATAGATAGATAGATAGATAGATAGATATAAAAATGATGGATAGATAATAGAAATGATAGATAGATAGAAATGATATAGATAGATAGACAGACAGACAGACAGACAGACAGACAGATAGAGATAGACAGACAGACAGATAGAGATAGACAGACAGACAGACAGACAGATAGATAGATAGAGATAGATGATAGGTAGATAGAAAATAAATAGATAATAGAGAAATGATAGAAAGATATAGAAATGATAGATAGATAGATAGATAGATAGATAGATAGATAGATAGATAGATAGATAGATAGATAGATAGATAGATAGATAGATAGATAGATAGATAGATAGATAGATAGATAGATAGATAGACAGACAGACAGGCAGGCAGGCAGGCAGGCAGGCAGGCAGGCAGGCAGGCAGGCAGGCAGGCAGGCAGGCAGGCAGGCAGGCAGGCAGGCAGGCAGAGACACACACAATATATAAAAAACAGTCATCAGGTAAACCCAAAGCTAAAGCTAATCTTCCAAGCCCTCTGTTAACCATCTGTAGTGTAATTGACACGTGGAAAGTCCACCAATGGCTTCCAATCTCTTGTGAACTTACCGTGTCCGACGAAGGCAGATAGAAACTGAAACCTGCTCTTTTAACCTCCCTTAGGCTGCGAAAAGGCTTTCGGAGAAAGTAGGGACCCCACTCGGGTGTGGGTTTGGGGTTTTTTTCGCCTGTGTTTGCCAATGCCTTCTCTCCCTCCCACTCCTAGCAACATCATGTCTCTTGCTGTCCTCCAGGTTAGATTTCTGGCAGCTGGTCCAGACCCAGTGCCTCCCTTCCTCCTCCAACAGTGTTGGCTGCTCCCCCTTTCAGTTCCATGAAGCGACCATCTACAACTCTGTCAACAGCTCCACTTGGAAAAGGATAACCATCCAGCTGCCGGATCACGTCTCCTCCAGGTATGTTCCTCTCTGAAGAAGCAACACGCTCCTTCGGCAGCGTATCAGCACTCAGAAGATTCGTTGGCTTTGGTGTCTTGGAAAAGGACATTTTAACGCTGTCCGTATCTTATAGCGAAGAGGTCCCCAACCTTTGGGGCACCATGGACCGGTTCTGTGGAGAGAGGTTTTCCCGCGGACCAGAGTGCGTGGTTTTGTGCGCTGCCTGCATCCCACTTTGCTTGTTTGTGCGGACCGGTGGCTGGCACGCCGTGGCCCGATACTGGTCCACGCACTGGGGATTGGGGACCCTTGTTATAGAGAGTAGGACAGTAGTGGCGAACCTATGGCATGAGTGCCAGAGGCGGCACTCATAGGCCTCTCTGTGGCACTCACGCTGTCGCCCCAGACCCACCTCCCCCTGTGGACCCCTCTTCACCAGCAGCCCCCCCCGGAGGAGAGTCGCCCCTGAGCACAGCCGGCGCAGAGCAGCGCAGGCAAGGACATGGTAGCCGGGCAGCAGGGACAAGACTCCACCCTTGCGCCCTGTCACGCGCAGATGAAGCTCCCGGGTGCAGGCGGAGGGCATGGCTGCCATGGCGCTGCTGGGCCAACTGGGCAGTCTGCAATGGGCCGTGGAGGCAGTGGGTGGCCCTGCGGGCAGGCGGGGCCGGGCTGGGGGTGGAGTGGGGGCGGAGTGGGGGCAGGCGGGGCCAGTTTTTGGGCACTCGGTCTCTCAAAGGTTCGCTCTCACTGGAGTAGGATATCTCCCAACGGTCATGCCCAGAAAGCAAGTGAGCATCATTCAAAGCTATAGGGTACGAAAGCCCTCTACTTTCTAATAACTACTTAAGATGGCTATATTATATGCCAGCATAACACAAATTACAGTTAGTCCCCAACTTACAACTGCAAGGGAGTCCCAGATTTCTGCTGCTAAGCAAGACAGCTATTAAGTGAGTTTTGCCCCGTTTTACGACCTTTCTCACCACAGTTGTTAAGGTTACTAAGTTAGTAACACACTTGTTAAATGAACCTGAATTCGCTTGTCACAAAAGGGGATCACGTGACACCCCCCCCCCCCCGGGACACTGCAGTTGTCATAAATACAAACCACTTGCCAAACATCTGAATTTTGATAATTGGATCCCGGGGAATCCTGCAGTGGTTGTAACTGCGAAAAACGGGCAAAAGTTTCTTTTTTTCAGTGCCATTGTAAAGATGAACGTTCCCTAAACGAATCTTTGTAAATCGAGGACTGTCTGTATTGACATATTACCTGGAAGCCCGGCTGACCTCTTGTGTCCACTCGTGGACCCTTTTATTTCTAGTGCAACTCAGTTCCGCTGGATCCAAAAAGGAGAAGAGCCGGAAAAACAAAGCTGGGCAATAGATCATGTCTACATCGGAGAAGCGTGTCCCAAACTCTGCAGCGGCCACGGATATTGTACCACGGGTGCCGTTTGCATTTGTGATGAGGAATACCAAGGTCAGATTCTGTGCGGATGCTCTGTGTCCTTTCTCCGTTGTACAGGATTGCTGCAACGTGTGGTTCCGCTCCTTTAAAGGGCGTTTTCACACAGCTTCTCTTGTGGGAGGTTGCGTTGTTACTTTGATAGTGGAGCTTTAGATCAGTGGCACCCAAACCTTTTGGGCACCAGGGACCAGTTCCACAGGGAGACATTTTTCTGCGAGCCGGAGGGTGCGTGGCTTTACGTGCTACCTGCATCCCACAGATGAGGCTTCACTTGTTTGCGTGGCATGCTGTGGCCCGGTGCCGGTCCATGGACCGGGGGTTTGGGGACCCCTGCTCTAGGTTGCTGTGGAATGGTTTTAGAACAGGGGTGTCAAACTGCCGGCCCGTGGGCTGAATGCGTCATGCCGAAACCGTGCCCACCACAACTCCAGCAATGGGGGAAAAAGTCACGATACGTCGCGACACATCACACGACGTGGCGAGTTTGACACCCCTGTTTTAGAATATCCCCATCCAGCAGCAGCCACCTGTGGTCCTGTTGTGCTCACGTCATATCTTGCCTACCTACCAGCTCACTTGCAAACCTTCTAGGACTCATTTAATGGCCCGCAATCATACCTAAATGACAGCAATGAGGTGTGCCATGATTGCTGTCATTAAATGATGTGGTCACATGATAGGAATAGGAATATTCTTCGTTGGCCAAGTGTGATTGGACACACAGTACCTTGAGCATCTATGTTGCATCTGTCCAGGTTAAAAGACATGATGTCAACGCTGCTAACATCAGATGTTCTTGCTTTGACAACATATGGAGATGCAGCCATTTTCCTTCTTATATTTTACTCTTAGAATTAGAGTCAGAATTAGATGATAGTGGGGGGGAGGAGGAATGTGCATGGGAGTTTAATTAGACATAACAATATGTAACAAGGGTGAGAACCAAGGTTTTTTGAAATAAGAGATGATAAGAAATGGTGGGTTGAAGAACTGGAGGGAAAGCCTGCATTTCAAACTAATTGGAGAATGTGATTTATGACTGTTAGTTAGAGGAGGGAATTGTGCTTTGATACTATGTGCTCAGGGGAGGGGAATTCAGATTTTGGCTTTGCCGATGTTCGTGCTACTCAAATAAAGATTCTTTAAGGTAAACAATGCCTCAAAGTTCTTTGAAGAGTTTCATCTGTCAGAACCATGACATATGAGTTGACATACACATCATTTTGAAAACATTCTGAAAACACCAATGTACATTTTCAGTCGCAATACCTTGATATCTGTGGATGGGAGATGCTTTCATTTCATTTATTTTACTTTTTAGGTGACGACTGCTCTGTTTTCAACCATGAACTTCCCAGCTACATTAAAGATAACTTCGAGTCGGCAAGAATTACCGAAATAAACTGGGAGATTATCCAGGGTGGAGTGATAGGCAACGGATGTGGGCAGCTAGCCCCCTACGCTCATGGCGATTCTCTGTATTTCAACGGCTGCCAGATAAGGCAAGCAGTGACCAAGGCCCTGGATTTAACCCGAGCAAGGTAAATTTTAGGTATCAGGAATCTAAAATACTTCCTCATTTATCCGACCACTCTGGACAGCTAACAACTTAAAAACATTTAAAAAAAACACTAAAATCATCCATCGTAAAAAAAAACAAACACGGCACATAAAGAAGGACTAATTTCTATAATAATTTGATATAATAGTTTTAATAATTGAATTATTACTAAGAATTCCAAAGTTTCAATTGTTTTGTCTTTGTGCATGTGGTTTTCTGTCCGTGTGTGTATCTGTGTCTGTGGGTAGTTGCCAGGATTTGGATAATGCTTTTCTTCTTGTCGTAGATCATGATTTAACTCGTTCTCTTCCCTATCGTCCTCCCTCCCGCTTTCCCCTCTCCCCCTCCCCCCAGCAAAATAATGTTTGTTTTGCAAATTGGAAGTCTCTCACAAACTGATAGCTGCAACACAAATCTCAGTGACCCCAACACTGTGGACAAAGCTGTGTTGCTCCAGTACAGCGTAAACAATGGGATTACATGGCAAGTCATTGCACAACACCAGCCGAAAGACTTTATACAAGCCCAAAGAGTGTCTTACAACGTGCCACTGTGAGTATGCCATTCTACTACGTTTCTCTCTAGAGTGAAAAGCGTCCCGCGTGAAGAATCAGGACCTCGGGCTAAATTCTTGTTAAGCTGATTTATTGCTCCTGCCTGTTAACACAAGAACTGAGTCAAGTAACGGTCAGCATTAAATTGGTGCGAGATAAAAAGCGGCACTTCCAGAGGTTGAATTTAGACCATTTGTGGGAACGTAACGACTCCAGGCTGATTCCTTTCTTGACTCCACCTTTCTCCTGTGAAAGTCATCTAATTCCCTGAATAAAGTACAGATGGAATCTGGTTTTGAAAGAGAGATGGAGACATGTGACCAGTGGTGGGATTCAAATAGGTGAACAACCGGTTCTCTGTGTGGATGCCGCTTCCGGAAGTCCGTTCTGGGCCTGGGCAACCAAAAATTAATTACTGGTTCTGCCGAATCTACCCCAAAAACAGCAAAACCCATTATTTGAAAACGTGCAACCAAAAACACACCGCGCAAACCCATTGTTATTTTTAGCAAATGCAACTTGAGTGCAGAAGATGAACTGGTTTCACTTTTCTTTTAGTGTATTTATTTACTTTATTAAATTTATATGCCGCCCTTCTCACCGATAGGGCGACTCTGGCTGGCTTACAGATAGGAAAGAGATAAATGTAAAAAGAGTTCTATTTTTAAAAGCTACGTATAAAACTGGAAGGAAGCCGATAGACGGCACGAGGATGAGATCCTCTGCTTTTGGCTTGTGTTTTCTTCAGACACTCCAGATACTACACAATATCTTCACAACATTTTTGTGAATTAGGTTAGGCTTGAGCGACGCTGAGTCACTCAGCATTCGTTAGAGCCAAACTCAGCATCCATGTTTATCACAGCGCTGATGGACTCTGATACAATTTTCAGTCATCAGATCCCTTGATGAATTTTAAAAGGGCTTTTCAGCTCAAACTAGGATCAGAATAACAGAGTGGGAAGGGAGGTCATCTAGTCCAGCCCCCTGCGCAAGCAACAGCCCCTACATTATGTCACACAAACGGTTGTCCAATCTCTTCTTAGAAACCTCCAGTGTTGGAGCACCCACAACTTCTGAAGTCAGGTAGTTCCACTCATTAATTGTTCTAATTGTCAGGAAATTTCTTCCGTCCTGTCAGGTGGATTCTCTCCTTGAAGTTCTAAGCTGGTTCTCTGCTCAGTTCGTTGGCTGTTTTTTTTTAACCATATACTATTTGCTTACTTCTAGCAATAATCGTAAGACCTTGACGTCTAATGAAATCCGGGATGCATTTTCATCCTGCTTGTAAATTTTCACAAATTGCTCACTTCAAGAGCAACTTCAGATAGATAAATAACAACCTTCTGCATCATAATATGGAGGGCCTCAGTACCCTTCCTAAATGAGGATTAGGGGAATTGTAGTCTAAAGGATCTGAAGGCTGTCGGGGTCAAAGAGGACATAGCTAGAGCAATGTTTTGCAAAAACAATCTCCTCAGTGTGTGTTGGGCCTCAGTATCCAATCTAGCAGGTCCAAAATCTCTGAAGGCGACCTGGAAGCTGAGAAGTCCTAGTGGACAATCACTTAAATATGAGCCAACAGTGTGCAGCAACAGCCAAAAAGGCCAACGCAATCCTAGGCTGCATTAACAAGGATAGAATCATGATCACGTGAAGTTCTAGAACCGCTTTGCAAAGCCTTAGTAAGGCCACACTTGGAATGCTGCATCCAGTGCTGGGCATCGCAATATTAAAAAGATGTCGAGACTTTGGAAAGACTGCAGAGAAGAGCGGCAAAGATGATGAGGGGGCTGGAGGCTAAAACAAAGAACGGTTGCAGGAACTGGGTATGTCTAGTCTAATGAAAAGAAGGTCTAGGGGTGACACGATAGCAGTCTTCCAGTATTTGAAGGGCTCCTACAAAGACGAGGGGATCAAACTGTTATTTTCCAAGGCAACCAAAAGGCAAAGACAAGAAACAACGGATGGAAACTAACCAAGGAGAGAAGCAGCTTAGAACTAAGGAGAAATTTCCTAACAGTGGGAACAATTAACCAGTGGAACAACCTTCCACCAGAAGCTGTGGGTGCTTCATCACCGGAGGCTTTCAAAAAAAGAGACTGGACAGTCACTTGTCTGAAATGGTAGAGATCGGGGGTAGGCAACCTTGGCTCTTTTATGACTCGTGGACTTCAACTCCCAGAATTCCTCAGCCAGCGTGGCTCAGCTTGGAAACCTCTCCCTTTCCCCTCAGCGTAGCTGGCTCAGGAATTCTGGGAGTTGAAGTCCACGAGTCATAAAAGAGCCAAGGTTGCCTACCTCTGGCCTAGGCCCAGGCCGCTTTATGACTCATGGACTTCAACTCCCAGAATTCCTCAGCCAGCATGGCTCAGCTTGGAAACCTCTCCCTTTCCCCTCAGCGTGGCTGGCTCAGGAATTCTGGGAGTTGAAGTCCACCAGTCATCAAAGAGCCAAGGTTCCCCACCCCTGGTCTAGGGCCTCCTGCTCGAGCAGGGGGCTGGACTAGATGACCTCTGAGGTCCCTTCCAACTCTATTGTTCTATGTTCCGTTCCTTTCCGCTCCCTCACTGTGTCGTTTCTCATTTTAGGGAGGCACGAATGAAGGGGGTGTTACTTCGCTGGTGGCAATCCCGCCACAGTGGCTCAGGCCACGATCAATGGGCTTTGGACCACGTAGAAGTTGTTCAGTGAGTATAACGCATGCCCTTCTAACGCATGACCACCAGCCCCATACTCCACATCGGGATGGGAAATTTTCAGTCGTTGATGGAGTCCTATGTAAATGTGAGGGTTTGAGAATGCTTGATCTGCAAATTGCTCTTTATCAAGGCAGGAAAAACGGGACTTTTATGAAATATCAGGGGAATTATGTATATCAGAGCAGTGTGTCTCAACCTGGGCCACTTTAAGATGGGAGGACTTCAACTCCCAGAATTCCCTAGCCAGCATGCAATGGGGAATTCTGGGAGTTGAAGTCCACCCGTCTTAAAGTGGCCCGGGTTAAGGCACTCTGCATTTGCGCATCCGGCTTCAGCAATGCATCCGGCTTCATTCAGTATAAACCTGACTTCCATTCTTTGCCACAAAATATATAATTGGATGGCTCTTACACCGCGTAATATTGCTATTGACTCTGGCACATAATTCCTTATTTTAAAATAGCAGAATAAGTAAGATCCATTATGTTCGGTTCCGTGGGCAGAGATTATATTCTTTCCCAACAGTTTTACCAAACTGTTCATTGCCTGTTAATTCTTTCCCCAGATCTAACTCACGGTAGAAAAACCACTTTATATATATCGCTGGAAAGTTATTTACTTTTTCTCTTAACAATTTCCTGAAATTCTAGTGTCATTGCCGGGCTGGGACTCATCTGCGTTTGGCTGAGAGAGAGGTGTGGCTTACCCAGTAGATAGGTTCCAATCTTATTTTATTTAAAATTTTGGAAGAATATGCCTGATAAAATCCGAGTTGTAAGATTACCTATGGAAATGTCAATTAACTGTGAAAGGATCATTTCCTTGAATCACATTTAAATTAGGGCTGGAAGAACCAAATGCCACTGAGCTTCATTACACTAGTAATATGTACTATTATTTTCCTTTTGACATTAGCTGTGGAAACTGCCCCTGGCTCAGAGGCTAGCCACGATCTAACCACCATGATTAGCCCTCCATTCTTCGCCCTTAAGCCCCAGTAGACTAAGACGATGTCATTACGGCTAATTTTATTTGGCTTAGAATCATTGACTAGGATCTATTTATCTCTCGCTCCACGTTTCTCCTTGCTCAGCTTCCGCCCCCCCTCAAAAAAATGGGGGGGGCAGGACCCTCTCAGATTCCATATAGTTGGACTGAAGATTACAGTGAGCACAATTGAAATTGGAGGCATGGTGGCCTAGCAGTTAAGACCCTGGACTCGTTGACCGAAAGGTTGGCCGTTTGAGACCCAAACATCAAATGAAGGGGTGAGCTCCCGTTCCTTGCTCCAGCTCCTGTCCACCTAGTGTGCAAATGCGAGTAGATAAATAGGTACCACTTTGGTAGGAAGGTAACTGTGCAACTTGGCATATAATCATGCTGGCCACATGACCACACAAGTGTCTTTGAACAATGCTGGCTCCCTCAGCCAGGAAATGGACATGAACACCATCGTCTAGAGTTGGACACAATTGGACAGAGGAAGCCTTTACCTTTATAGTTGAGATTACCTTGTAAAAGTTCTGGTTTATACCAGACTGTTCTCCTTCCCTACATCCCATGCCATTCTAGATGGTTACTGATTGTTGGGAAGGATCCCTGGATCCTAAGTGGATTCTTGGTAGACGAGGCTCACCCAAATCAAGCCATTAAGTTGACGGTTAAAGTTTTTTGCCCTAGCTGACAAAAATGTCATGGCGGCACAGATCTATCTAGTATTTATATCAAGCCGCCACTGATCTGTTCCAAAGGAAGGCATTCAATTTGCTATCAAAAAAATTATTGGTCTATTGACAGCCCTAATTTAAACAAGTGAAGAGGACAAGGGCAACTTGAGATTCCTTCATTTCTAGTTGATTCTGCTATTTTTTTTATTTTTTTATTTTTTGCACCAAAAGGCACCAGCTTGCATGGCATCCGTGCCATACTTAAATTGTAGCCTTTATCCAATAATCGGTAATTTTTCACGCTTAGCTGCTAGTTGTTGTTGTTGTTTTTTAACCACACTCTTTGCTAAGCTTGGCCTCCATCACATCAACGTCTGAGTTTAATCTAACATGAAAATAGATCTTATTACTGATTTGTCCGGTGCCTTTTATGCAGGTTAAGAGAGAAATAATGTTCTCATTGCAAAAAAATCATAGTTCTTGAGGGGTTCCTTTTTCTATTAGAAACCTGTTTACAGTGTTTCTCAACCTTGACAATTTTAAGGCATGTGGACTTCAACTCAAGAATTCATTGCTGGCTGTGGAATTCTTGAGTTGAAGTCCACATGCCTTAAAATTGTCAAGGTTGAGAAACACTGCGTTAGAATATTACGGGGGTGGCGTGATGGCTCACCAGTTAAGATACTGGGCTTGTCAGCTTCTCCTTCTGCCTTCCGTCTTCTCAAACATCTGAGTCTTCTCCAAGAAGAAGACTTTGGTGGCCAAAGTCTTTGAGCTTCAGCTCCAGGATCTGTCCTCCCAAAGAACAACCAGGGTTGATTTTTCCTTTGGTGTCAATTACATCAATGACACCATCTAACCATCTCATCCTCTGGACTCGGCTTCTTATAACTTGAACCAAATTTTCTTCTTACTACACTGGTGGACTTGAGGTCATCTAACCAGAGCATGCAATAGATTTTGGTTTTGTTCTGTTTTTCAACGTTCGCCATCTTCAATGAGGGGAGGTAACCCAAACATGAAATTATAGCAGTAGCACTTAAGACTTATATACCGCTTCATGGTGCTTTACGGCCCTCTCCAAGCGGTTTACAAAGTCAGCATATTGCTCCCAACAATCCGGGTTCTCGTTTTACCGATCTCGGAAGGATGGAAGGCTGAGTCAACCATAAGCTGGTTAGAATCGAACTGCTGGCAGTGGGCAGAGTTTGCCTGCAATGCTGCATTTTAACCACTGCGCCACCATGGTTTAGCAATAGCACTTAGACTTATACACTCCACTCCACAGTGCTTTATAGCCCTCTCTAAGCAGTTTACAGACTCAGCCTATTTTCCCCCAACAACCTGGGTCCTCATTTTATCGACCTCGGAAGGATGAGTCAACCTTTAGCCAGCCAGGATCGAACTCCTAACTATGGGCAGAGCCAGCCTGCAATATTGCTATCTCGCCACTGCACCTCCACATCTCCCTGGTAGCACAGGGATATAATTTGAATTACAGGGTTCCCAATTCACAACGCTAAGTAAGTGGAAAAGAAATTTAAACGATGAAACGTTCAAACAGTGTTTTTATAAATGGCGGCATTTAGATAGATGAGGGATGGATAGATAGGTATAGATAGATAGATAGATAGATAGATAGATAGATAGATAGATAGATAGATAGATAGATAGATAGATAGATAGATAGATAGATAGATGGATAGATGGATGATGAATGGATAGACGGATGGATGGATAGATAGATAGATAGATAGATAGATAGATAGATAGATAGATAGATAGATAGATAGATAGATAGATAGATGATGGATGGATAGACGGATGGATGGATAGATAGATAGATAGATAGATAGATAGATAGATAGATAGATAGATAGATAGATAGATAGATAGATAGATAGATAGATAGATGAGGGATGGATAGATAGGTATAGATAGATGAATAGAGATAGATAGATAGACAGACAGACAGACAGACAGACAGACAGACAGACAGACAGACAGATAGATAGAGATGGACAGATAGATGAATAGACAGTGTGTGTGTGAGAGAGAGAGGGGGGGGATACAGATAGAGATGAACAGACAGACAGACTTAGTATCTAGTGATTTCCTCCAGCTCTGCTAATAAAGACTTAGGAAAACTCCTGGAAGCAACGTGGTATTGTTATATTTAACTAGTTTGATGGCTGATGGTTGAGTGAATCTTTAGACCAACGCGACAGAGGCTTCCAAAGAAACTTGTTCCCTTAATTTTTACTTTAAATGCATTTCTGGTGCCAGAACAGCTCGCTGGGGGAAGCCCTCTAGCGATATACCTTAGCTTATCTTTAATGCACGCATTGTGACGTCACCCGCATATCTGAAAGGGGTGGAGCTTGGAGCAGGAGGAGAAGACCCTGCTTTTTATCATTTTGATTAAATGTAATGGGGAACCTGCCGGTCACTTATAGGCACACCTCCTTTTTTTCCCCCCTAGAATATTTCTTCTCTCTGTTTGTGTATTTATTCTGCAAAAATAGCTGACAGTCAAACTGATATTTGCTGTGCATGCCAGCCCTTTCCCAAACTCACACCTGCCTGCTTAACAAAAGATGCCAGCACTCTTTTTTGATCCTTTCCATAAAAAGTATTTCAATATAAATTGCAAACATTTATGCTTAATGTAAGTTTATTAAGGCAAGCCCGCTGGGGTTTGATTTTTCCCCTTCCTAACTGGAACTGCAAATTGCAGAAATGGGAACTGCGCAGAAATCTGAGGAGAGCCTTCAAAATATTTTTATGTCATTTGTCACGAAACTGAATGCTGGTATCACAATATTTTGAATAAGAGGCATGCGGTTAATCTTCAGATATACGTTGTCACCATGCTTTTCATGATTAAAACTGTTATCTTTTGGGCACGAGAATTTTAAAGGCTGGGCAGTTGCAAAAATTGGGGGAGAAAAGATTTTTTTAAATATCTTAGCAGCAATAATGTACATTCGTGTAAAATGCCTGTCTTTGCTTCATCTCTTTAGTTCGGAATCGGGGCGATATACACCCAAAATAATATTATTTACGTTCACCTAGAAAAGAAAACATTACATTTTTTTTGCAGCTTTGTGCTAGCTTACCCATTACCCTCCTAGGCTAACATTGGGTGTTACATTGCTAAGTTGTATTTCTAGAACTCTTTGTGGTTATTAAAAAAAAAAAAACATTTGAATGATTACAGCTATAGAGATATACTTTCTTTCAACCAGAAAGTAACTTGTTCAATTTTTATTTTCAAAAGAGATGAAAAATCCTATATTGCCTCTAAACCTCATCAGTCTTTTATGACTAATCACAGTGCTGCATGCATTGAAATACATTTTCTAATTTGTGTTGTATTTCATTATTTGCTGTCATTGGTTTTACACTAGAGTAAGGTAAGTGATTTCATTCCTGCAACATCGAGTATCATCCCGTTCGCCAATACTGATATTGTCGCTTCATAATAGTAGTAATAATAATAATAATAATAATAATAATAATAATAATAATAATAATAATAATAATAATAATAAAGTTGGAAGGGATCTTGAAGGTCATCTAGTCCAACCCCCTGCTCAAAGCAGGAAACCAGTCAGTCAGCTTCAGCTCTGCTTTCAGACATTATCAAGGTATCTTGATTCTGAGTGGTTTGAGGCTGTAAGATGCCTGCATGTCAAATAATCGGAATTTGGCGATATGTTTTGAAAACTGTTAGGCTGAATGTTCAATGTTTACTGAAATTCAAAAGGAAAACAAAGGGATTTCTCACTTCCAACAGGAGAGCACAGATGGAATCAAATTAAAAGGGAAATAAGAAGTCCACTGGATCAGAAAAATTTGAATGATTACAGCTATAGAGATATATGGTTTCAAATCTATCTGTTGTACATCACAGCAATAGGCTTCTTCTGGCTGATCTCCACTAGGCTGGGAAGCTAACCAGAGATGGGCCCAAGAGACCACCGGGGAAATTCTATAATTATAGGTCAAAAGAATCTAAGAAGAAGGGAGTGGGAGAGCAATTCCACAATATTTTCCCCCCAAAATTAACACCACCCTTCCCTACTTTCATCATGGACCCTCGTTCCTCATGCTCTGAAAATAGCAATAGACTTATATAGTGCTTCACGGTGCTTTACACTCCTGTCTAAGGGGTTTACAGAGTCAGCCTCTTGTCCCCCCAACAATCTGGGTCCTTATTTTACGGACCTCTGAAGGACGGAAGGCTGAGACAACCTTGAGCCGGTCAGGATCGAACTGCTGACAGTGGGCAGAGTTAGCCTGCAATACTGCATTCTAACCACTGTGCCGCCACGGCTCAAATAGCAATAGCGATAGCACTTAGACTTATATACCACTTCACAGTGCTTTATAATCCTCTCTAAGGGGTTTACAGAGTCAGCCTCTTGCCCCCCAACAATCTGGGTCCTCATTTTACCGACCTCGGAAGGACGGAAGGCTGAGTCAACCTTCAGCCGGTCAGGGTCGAACTGCTGGCAGTGGGCAGAGTTAGCCTGCAATACTGCATTCTAACCACTGCGCCACCATAGTGAACTTGCCCCTTACGCAGCACCCCGAGTGACACATCGGTGGCTTGGACATCCTTACACCTTTCCTAAAGAGGCCGAAAAGTAACCATACTTGCAGGGACCGCCAATCAAGTCAGTCGGCCAGTAATATTTATTCGGTCAATGACCAAGGACCGCAGAAGTAACAGCTGCAGGCCACTTTGACCAAAGAGGAATTTTAAGGAAGATGCTCCAAGTCAAGAGACCGGATTTACCAATTCCTCCTCTTCGGATTTAGCCCGGAGTGGAGTCACGTTATAATTCCTGATAATGCCACTTTGTTAGACCCGCAAGATCGAGGCTGGCTGACCTTTAGAGGTCCCTGTAATTAGAAGTCCTAAATTTAACCATGAGTAGGTTTTTACATTCCCAGCCAAAAGAAATCAGGAACCAGGGCCAGAATTGCTTAAGTTCAGCCCTTTTTTTTCCCCCAGATGATCTAGTTACCCCTATAACTGCACATTCCTCAAAAACAGAAGTTGTGTAGATCCCTCAGCCTACAAAATGAGCACAGGGTCGAACGTGATTTTTCAACTAACCCTAAAGTTATCGCTTTAGTCATCTTTTTTTTTTAATCTTGGTCCATGACTGTTAATCGAGTTTTAATTCTTTTTTTACTTACCTCGCTAATTTGGAAAAGAAGTGGGATTTTTGCAAATGTTCATTCAAATCAGGGCTGGCTGGGGAATTCCAGGAGTTGTAATCTACACCACGTTTGAGAAACACCAGGCTAGGAGATAGCCAATAACTTATCCTAGGATGGAAGAAATTAGTTAAAGTTCCATCCAAATAATAATGGGATCCTGAGCGCCTCTGTGGATTTTCTGGTTTGGACGTTCTGCTTCCCACCGGAGACAGTTCAAAAGGCTAGTCCTCATGAACATGTGTTTCTTCTCAATTTACAAATACTTCTCCATTCCTCTAATGAACCAAGACACCCCGTGGGGGGTCTGTTAGTGGAGAACAAGTTAGTTCACAGCAGGGGTGGTGTAGATCTTCATCTGATCCCAGAAAGTCTTTCCTTAATTCTCTGCTAAGTTAACTAAGGAGTGCCACTTTTCTTGTGGGGGCATAAAACAAGAATGCATGGCACGCAAGGGCAAAATCTGATTTCTTGGCATTGTGACTGTATTGGGAGAGGATATTGGAGAGATCACAGCTGTCATGTGTCTGATTAACGAAACACTTAAATTATATATTGTATATTCTTGCTTTGACAACAGCATTCAGCCAATCCATTTTATAGAATAATTGGCCACTCAGTTGCAGTGTTAGACTGCCATCTAGTGGATAAAAGGCTGCACTTTTACCAATAACGCCAGCAAATGTGGTTGATTTTAAGACAGGCAGTCCTCGGGTTACAACCGTTCCTTTAGCGACCGCTCAGAGTTACAAAGGGTGATCCCTTGACCCCACGACATGGCAACGGTCACAAATACATCCCTCTCCTCTCCAATTTTCGATCCCGTGACTGTGGCGAGGCTGTAATAGCCCTAAGCGAGAAAAGCATAATCACAAGTTACTTTTTTTCCCGCGCCGTTGTTCACTTCGAACGGTCGCTAAACAAGTGGCTCGTAAGTCGGGGACTCCAGTGTCTTACAGATCACTTAAGGCAGGGGTCCCCAGCCCCTGGTCCGTGGACCGGTAACGGGCCGCGGCACACTAGCAACCGGTCCGCACAAACAAGCAAAGCCCCATCCGCGGGATGCAGGCAGCGCACAAAACCACGCACTCTGCGGTCCGTGGGAAAACCTCTCTCTCCACGTTACCGGTCCCTGGTGCCCCAAAGGTTGGGGACCCTCTGACTTAAGGCAGTGCTCGTGTTTTTGGTGGAACCGCGCCGTCTTTACGTTTTTGCATGTGACCTCCCAACCTTTGTGTGTTGAAGGCGAGTGACTCTCTTCTCTTCCGTCCTCTCTCCGCTGTGCAGCACTCGCAAACAAAATTACATGATGAATTTTTCACGGCAACATGGGCTCAGACACTTCTACAACAGAAGACGGAGGTCGCTTAGGCGTTACTCGTGAGGAACAAGACATGACTTCCCCCCCCCCATCTTTCCCAACCTGCGATGCGTACGCAAATTTGATTTACCAGGACTTTTCCTCCCGGCCTCTCCCACCTCCCTTTCTTTCTTTCTTTCCTTCCTTCCTTCCTTCCTTCCCTCCCGGAGGTATATTTTGAAAGCCTCCCTCAAGACAAAAAGTTACGCCCTGTTTTTTTTGTTTTTTCTCGCACTGTGATCTCATGGGAAGCGACTTCTTTTCTCATAGGTAAATGTTTTGAATGTCGTCGTGTCTGTGGAAAATTGTGATTCTGTTGTAATACCAGTTCCAGTGGCAGTATTGGGAAGGAAGCGACTGTTTTGAACAAGAACAAACAAACAAACAAAAAAATGAAGCTGTAAGCACAAAAGGACTTAATTATTTAATGTCAGAAACTACAACGTTAACCACAAAATCAGTATTTAAACACACTGTACTTTGGCTCTGTATCATATTTTGTACGATTTAAGTTATTCTCGTCCCCTTTGTGTCCTCCTCTTTGTGACTTGACAACGACGGCACTGCGTTAGCATTAGGACAATTTGCCGATGACGTCTGCGCGGCTTAACAACGCCCCACGCCAAGCAAACAAGCGTCAAACTCCCAAAAGTTGAAAAGCCGTCGTACGAGGCTGTGATGTCCTTCATTCTTTCTCCTTGTCTACCTGTTAATCATTGTTTGTGGTAAAACCCAGTCACCAAACGGAAGCTCGTTGAAAAATACAGCCGTCCTCCGCGGATGAGTGACTGACAGTAGCTGCCATTTGCTCTCTGTAGTAATGCAGTCATTTGTAAACAGTGGAACTGTTTTTTTCTTCGTGTTTCTTTGTGGTTTGTTTCAGGTTTTTTTTAGGGGGGGCTCCTTCTGTATCTCGGATAGGGCTGTACCTCCCCCCCCGGCCACACAATTTATGACCCCCCACAACTCTTTTAACTGTCTGTAAACTTTCACTCTACAAGGAACCAACTAAAATTCAATGCTTCAATAAAGATGTCAACCAACGATGTAGGTGGCGTTCTTTTTTTTTCTCTTTTTTCTTCCCCCCACCCACCAACCCACAATTTTATACCGAGGAGGTGGAGCAGAATTGACCTGATTATTATCATTTTTTTGTCGGCTATATGTTGATGAGGAAATGTGCAAATATGTTGACGAGGCAATTGGGCAAAAGGAAAAGCTGACCCACCCAGAAAATGGGAATATTAGCAAGATACGCCTGGCCCCTAAATGTTTGACCCTTTCCCCCATGAACAAATATAACTGCAGGATCTTTTCAGAAGCTTCTAGATCTGTCCAGGTAAACTAAAACATTTAGGATGGTGAAATTGGAAGAGTTTTATAATAATAATAATAATGATAAAGTTGGAAGGGACCTCGGAGGTCATCTAGTCCAACCTCCTGCTCAGGCAGGAAACCCTATACCATTTCGGACAAATGGCTGTCCAGTCTCTTCTTAAAAACCTCCAGTGTTGGAGCATTCACCGCTTCTGGAGGCAGGTTGTTCCACTGGTTAATTGTTCTAACTGTCAGGAAATTTCTCCTTAGTTCTAGGTTGCTTCTCTCTTTTTACTTAATAATACTCACGTGGTACTTATATTGGAACTAGACAGTTTGGTGTAGTGGTTAAGGTATCAGGCTAGAAAGTAGAAAAAAAATGTGAGTTCTAGTCCTGCTTTAGCCATGAAACCTGGCTGGGTGACTTTGGGCCAATCATCAGGAGCTGTGAGTTCTAGTCCTGCTTTAGGTATGAAAGCCAGCTGGGTGACTTTGGGCCAATCACCAGGAGCTGTGAGTTCTAGTCCTGCTTTAGGTATGAAAGCCAGTTGGGTGACTTTGGGCCAATCACCAGGAGACTGTGAGTTCTAGTCCCATAAAAGCCATAAAAGTCAGCTGGGTGACTTTGGGCCAATCACCAGGAGCTGTGAGTTCTAGTCCTGCTTTAGGTATGAAAGCCAGCTGGGTGACTGTGGGCCAATCACCAGGAGACCGTGAGTTCTAGTCCTGCTTTAGCTACGAAAGCCAGTTGGGTGACTTTGGGCCAATCACCAGGAGACCGTGAGTTCTAGTCCCATAAAAGCCATAAAAGTCAGCTGGGTGACTTTGGGCCAATCACCAGGAGCTGTGAGTTCTAGTCCTGCGTTAGGTATGAAAGCCAGCTGGGTGACTTTGGGCCAATCACCAGGAGCTGTGAGTTCTAGTCCTGCGTTAGGTATGAAAGCCAGCTGGGTGACTTTGGGCCAATCACCAGGAGCTGTGAGTTCTAGTCCTGCGTTAGGTATGAAAGCCAGCTGGGTGACTGTGGGCCAATCACCAGGAGCTGTGAGTTCTAGTCCTGCGTTAGGTGTGAAAGCCAGCTGGGTGACTTTGGGCCAATCACCAGGAGACAGTGAGTTCTAGTCCTGCTTTAGGTGTGAAAGCCAGCCGGGTGACTCTCTCTCAGCCCAACCCACCTCACAAGGCTGTTGTGGGGAAAATAGGATGAGGAAGGAAAGTCCGTTGAGTTGTTCTGCCACCTTGAGTGACTTGTAAAAACAGTAAAGGTGGGATACAAATAAATCCATAGATCATAAACAAGCAAACTCGCCTCGGTGTCCCCTGAGCTTCCTAGCTGTTGGAAAGCCGAGCAGAGCTGAATTTCTTCCCTGCGGTTCCCAAAAATGCGTTACGCATATTACATTTTGTAACATTGAAATATCTACTGGGACGCGCTGAACATTTGGCCAGGTACACCGAGCGTGAGAGAGAGAAATGCCACGACTTTCCATTGCAACATCTAAGGCTCAGCCAGATTATAAAACCATTACTTACCCTTTCGCCCTTTCGCCTTGACATTTGTTTGGAAAGTGATCAAAGCAGGTGCGAGCAGCGGAAATAACAAATGCCGCAGGACCTGCCTCTTATGTCTTCTTTTGACGGCCGAGCGTTATATTATTTACAGAACACACTGCCTGTCAAGGCAACGTTTCCAAATCTCAGTGCTGACTTAATAAAAAGCTGCTGAGAGATTTTACTTCCTGAAAACCAGAAATATTTCCTGCTCCCACTGGTGTTATATATGACTCAGCGGCTCCAAAAAAATGAATATTATCTATATTTGCAGCACTGTATAGTGATCACATCTTACAGAATAGAATAGAATAGAATAGAATAGAATAGAATAGAATAGAATAGAATAGAATAGAATAGAATAGAATAGAATAGAATAGAATGCAGAACAGAATAGAATGCAGAATAGAATAGAATGCAGAATAGAACAGAACAGAACAATAGAATGCAGAATAGAACAGAATAGAATACAGAATAGAACAGAATAGAATGCAGAATAGAATAGAATATGCTCCCACTGCTCCCACTGGTGTTATATATGACTCAGCGGCTCCAAAAAAATGAATATTATCTATATTTGCAGCACTGTATAGTGATCACATCTTACAGAATAGAATAGAATAGAATAGAATAGAATAGAATAGAATAGAATAGAATGCAGAACAGAATAGAATGCAGAATAGAATAGAATGCAGAATAGAATAATGCAGAATAGAATGCAGAATAGAATAGAATGCAGAATAGAATAGAATGCAGAATAGAATAATGCAGAATAGAATGCAGAATAGAACAGAACAGAACAATAGAATGCAGAATAGAATAGAATAGAATAGAATACAGAATAGAACAGAATAGAATGCAGAATAGAATAGAATAGAATAGAATAGAATAGAATGCAGAATAGAATAGAATATGCGGGAACAGAATAGAATAGAATGTATAGAATAGAATATAGTGCAGAATAGAATAGAATAGAATAGAATAGAAACTGGAAGGGACCTTGGAGGTCTTCTAGTCCAGCCCCCTGCTCATGCAGGAGGACCTATACCAGTGGTTCTCAACCTTTTTAATGCCGCGACCCCCAACCGGTCGTAAGTCGAGGACTAAACCGGTCGTAAGTCGAGGACTAAACCGGTCGTACGTCGAGGACTACCCAACCGGTCGTAAGTCAAGGACTTTCCCTGCCCGGGAGCGCCGTGCATGCGTGGTTCCGCCCCCTGCGCCGGCCGAGGCCTAGCTGGCAAGCGGCAGAGACGGAGCAGGCTGACCACCAGCTGGCCCAGCCCAAGGGAGGTAAGGCACCCGCCGGAAAAGGGGGAAAAATGGCGGACAAAAAAAATGGCGGACAGCCTTGCTNAGAGCTGACCTGGAATTAAGGAGAAACTTGCTGACAGTGAGGACAATTCACCAGTGGAACTGCTTGCCTCCAGGAGTTGTGGGTGCTCCATCACTGGAGGCTTTCAAGAAGAGACCGGACAGCCATCTTGAATGGTACGGGACCTCCTGCTTGAGCAGGGGGCTGGACTAGAAGACCTCCCAGGTCCCTTCCAACTCTGTGAATCTCTGTTCTACAGACATATATTTTTCAGACAGAGGCATGGATATAAAACGCAGATCTTTCCGCACCCTCGCCTGTGATGTTTACGCAAGCACAAATAGTGTACACTTAACAATCCAGTGGAAATGACCCCAAAGACGAGCATTCCCACGAACCTTTCATTCTGTTTTCCATACTTTAAACCCTCACCATTTTAAAGTTGATGGATTGAGAAGGCTTGCGGTATTCTCCATTTCATACGGAGATTTGTAGAATGGCTACAGCGTTCTGCCTCACATTCAGAGGAATATCTGTAGTTTCAGGAAAAATAACTAGCATTCCTCGGGTTTAATTTTACCTGTGGATCAGCAAAAACCAAATACGCCTCCTGTGGATTTGGACGTCACAGATAAAGCACAATAATACAGCCATCCCATGTCCTTAATAACATGAATCGCCTTAAACTGGAGAGCTTTCTAACGACGACTTCAAAAAATCGTTTAAATTCACTCCCAACAGAATCTCAGAAAGTTAATAATAATAATAATAATAATAATAATAATAATAATAATAATAATAATAATAATAATAATAATAATAATAATAATAATAATAATAATAATAATAA